TGTCATATAGCACAAATCATATCATGCTTATATAGGGGTTGTTCATTATGCTCACTGTGCTATATTACTTGATCACACACATAGCGATTACATTTTTTATACTAGGATGCATTAAGACATTTGTGCAAAGACACACATATATTAACAGATATCAAATCAGCACAAATAACACAGACGTAGACGTTGGGATTCGTTACTGTTTTATGTCATATTGCTGATGTTCATTAGGTTCACAAATCCAAACTTGTATGTATTTGTGAAGTGTTGCGTGTGTGTGATGTTCATTAGGTTCACAAATCCAAACTTGTATGCATTTCGCCAAAATCATCCATCGTTTTGATGAATATTATGAACCAGATTTTTCGCTAATGATATACACTATTGATCGTATAGATTGKCAGTTTCGTAGTTGATTGGAGGTTACRAAATCGTYTGAATAATATAGGTTCACRAYGTRATGYGATTTTTTTACAAAATTACCCTTTGAACAGTTGTTCATAGACATCTCATTTAATACATTAATTAAATGATTATTTTTGTAGTCTCATTTAATAAGGACCGTTTGATGAGACTATGAACGATCAAGATCGGTTAGCATAGTTTGCACAATAGTTTGGGTTAGTATATGAACCAGCCCCTATATAGATATGTGTGTGTGTATGTGTATGTGTAAATATATGTGTGTGAAGAAAATTTCAAATACAAACTATGTGAATATTACACATAACATAAACCAATCTTGACCCTTGATGTTGTAAATTTTCAATTTTTAGGCAGTTATCATATCAATTATAGATCAATAAATTTTGGAACCGATTTAATCCACATCGTTGGTATTTGATTTGATAATCTGCATGGACGGATGGTTGAAACTGGTTTATAAGATTTCAGTGGTTTGTATTTGAAACGACCTCTATACATATATACATGCATATATGTGCCTACATATTCAAACATAATCAAATAAGAAACCATAAAAAGCTTATGAGCCCGTAAAAATCGATTTAGAAATATCTTTTTACATGATTATTTTTCATCAAATGATAGGTTAGGATTTAATATTATTTCACATATTTTGTTTAATAATGTGATAGTTTCATATATGTTTTTGTTTCACCATGTGAAACGTTTTTAACATTTATTTTTCATTTGATCACTAAGTGAATAAAAAAGTTCCACATGTAATTTGTTCAGAAAGTGAACATAAACATAAGTGAAAGAATACCTTAAATCATAACTTTTGATGAAAAAAATAATGCAAAATAATATTTTTATATCGATTATCATGGACCTATAACCTTTTATGATTCTCTTTTGATCATCGTCAAAGCATATACACAAATTCTAGAGGGTAAGATTTCAATAATATACGCACTAATTATGCATACATATATACATACATATATGCACACAGCCATACAAAAATTAACAGAAACACACACAAATATACACATTCAAACACTACATAACAAAAGATTTTTACTTATGGACGTTTTGTGAGAAATCCATCATTAAAGAGTGAATTTCACAAAACCATCATAAAAATTGTTGGTGGGAAAATCAAAAGTGAAAAGTGTGCTGAATGGGAACGACAAATGGGTTGTTTATTAGAAGTGTAGGATGCATGACGACATAAATTGAAGAAATGAAGACATATTCATGCATTTTAATTAGGTTTGATGGAGTGTTCATCCATGCTTATCATCAAGTGTCGTCACAATGTATTTTTAATTTGAGAATTCGTAAATATTTGAGAAATACATAAGTGATCCTATTTTTTCATATGGTCAAGATTGAATTTGACTGGTCAATAATTGCACCTTTAACGGGTCAATAGTTGCTGCTATGCAAAAAAAAAGGTAGTTACGTAACTTTTACAAATAGACAGCAAAAAGATTCATATGTGAACCTATTTGATTCACATATGAACTATATGTTCATATGTGAACTCATGTAATTCACATATGAACTATTTTAACCAATTCACGTATAAACTAATTCAAATATGAATTAATTAACTGATTCACATATGAACACGTTATGAACTTGTTGCTTCATATATAAATTTGCTAAATAGTTCATATTTGAACTAAATAATGGATTCACATATGAACATGTAGTTTATATGTGAATCACATGAGTTCACATATGAACTCGTTAGCCGCATATTCGTAAAAGTTACCATTCCTCCATCTTCCGCATACCCATGTGAGAAATTATTCAGTGTTTTATATATATACATGCAATCACGTTAGACCGGTCTGTTTTCGTGAGACCACTTTTTTACACTTGAAACTTTACAGAAAAACATTGTAAAGATAACCTTCACAATGTTTTTTGCTGTGAAGGTTCAGATTTTTTTTTATCTTCATAGTATTTTGTTGTGAAGTTTCAAGTGTAAAAAAGTGGTCGAATGAGTCACACAAAAACATCATGTTTTTATGTGAACCCACCCCTATATATAGGGGGTCATTCAAGGGAGAACTTATTATTTTGTGATAACCGTGAGATCTAATCTCAACCACAAATCAAATGATAAATTAGAAAATCAATAATTATGGTAATTTTAGCTTAAACTTTAAATTAAATGGCATTTTAATTATTTTAAATTTCTCCTCTCTCCAATGAACGCCTCCTCTCTCCGACAAACACTACGTCAACACATGATACACAGTGTGATACCTAAAAAATTTTGGCACCGTTAAAAAGGATACTTACAAAACAAAAAGATGCACATTGTGATACCCTTTGTAAAACAAATAAAAATAATAAAAATGCACCCTGTGATAGCCTTGATAAAACAACGAAAATAATGAAAATACATATTGTAATACAGTTCGTAAAACAAAGCTAAGTGTTATACACTTTATAAAATAATGAAAATACATTGTGATACACCTTGAAAAACAACGAAAATACATATTGTGATACATTTCATAAAATGCTACCTAAAAAAACCTGTTGTGATACACTTTGTCGGGGTTTCAATATGGGTTTCTTTCAAATCTGGGTTCTAGTGCATTATCAAGGAGTCGGGGTGAGATATGGGTTCTTGTGCATCATCAAGATCTCGATTCCCTCAAGATCTAGGTTTGTAGTGCATTGTCGAAATCTAGGCGGCATTATAGTGCACCAGCGATATCGATCTCTGTTATATCTTCGGCGTTCTTGGAATAAAGTGGTGGTAGTTATTGTTTTTGAAGGAGAGTAAACACTACAAGAGGAAGGAGCTTTAAAGAGAAAATATTCAGAGAAGCTTTTAGAAGTGTATCTAAAGCTACACTATACAGAAGAATTTAAATGACAAAAATGAGAATCGTAACTAAAGGTTGGACGACATGTAAAGAAGAATTTATACGCTAATTTCAGTGTAAGAAATGCCGTTAAAAGTTTTAGAGAAGTTTTTTGTAAAAAAATGTCTCTAAAATGTTGCATCAATTTTTAGGAACACTTTTTTAAGCTTCTCTAAAGATTCATAAAAAAATTAAGATTTTTAAAATTAAATAAAAGTATTTAGTTACCCCTTAAAAATGTATCTAAAAGATTTATATTAAAAAATAAATTAAAATTAAATAAAAAATATGATGATCTAAAAGATTTGTATTAAAAATAAATCAAAATTAAATAATAAATATATGAATACCTTTCTCTTCTCTCTTCTCGACCTCACGCCCTCACTTCTCGTCGCTCAATCACAGACCTCACACCCCCACTTCTCGTCGCTCAATCACTGACCTCACGCCCTCACTTCTCGTCGCTCAATCACACACCTCACGCCCTCACTTCTCGTCGCTCAATCACACACCTCATGCCCTCAAATCGCTCAATCACGCCCTCAAATCGCTTGAGTCTGTCGAATCATGTTGATCATCTCCATTGCTTGAATATGTCTTTCTCTCTGTATCGATTGCTCGAACAACAGGTACACAATCTTTAGAAGTTACAGCGGTCCCTTTGTTCTATCTACCTGGTGTTATGTCTTAGTTATCTCTTCAATTTTTTGTTAAAATTGTTTAAACTATCTCTCTGTTCTTGCTATTGATTCAACATAGTTAGGTGTATTTAGTGAGGGTTTGTTGCAGATGCTTAATTTACGAAATTGAATATGGTCAAAGATTGAAGTTCCTTCTATTAGAACTAGAAGGGTACTCGTGCATTGCATCGAGACACATCTTGATTTCAATGCTTTGTTTTATTCTTTTTTTATATCAATATAATACAGCTTTATGTGGTTTTGAAAAAACGATAATGTTTTTATTTTTGAATATAATATAAATTTGAAAATATCACAAAATTTTGAAAAATAATTATATCGATATCAGTATCAAATTAATATTTTTAAAAGTTATTGTGTTTCGGTGTAATTTTCTTAATTCAATTTTTTTAATTATAATTTAATTTAGATTTACTAACAAAGAAATTTAATTTAGGTTTAATAATATAATTTTTATATAGATAATAACTAAGTATTCTGTAAGAACTCAATGATTATCCTAATTATATTTTAAATATTTTATATTTAAAATAAGATATTTATCCAAAATTTGATTATGTTTATCTGCAGTTAGTTACATAAATTCAAATATGGAGCTTTAGTAAGTTGTACTTATGCACAATTTACTTGTAATCTTAAATTTTAAGTAATATGCATCGATAAACAGTACTTCGTTCATAAAAAGTGGTTTTTAAGAATTTTTGTCAAATGCTTTATAATATAGTATAAACTGAGTTGAGTTTGTTGTCTAATCAATTGGTTGTATATGTAGAAACTATGGGAAGGGAATAAGCTTATATCATTTTTTTTACGTGTTTACATATGATTGCTGTTACAGTTCTTGATTTCTGTTATAGCTCAATGAAAGTTGGTTTCTGCTTAAATAGTCACATAAAAGCTGTTTTCCTGTATACTTTCCTGTATACATGTATATAGATAGATCAAAGTGGCCTAATAACACTATAAATATCAACTACAGATGTATCATGAACACACAACATAGTTTTTACAGCATTAAAAAAGATCCAATTGTAGCAGCATAGGGTAGATGGTGGCTGCATAATTTGTTTATAAGTCCGACGGCTGGAGGAGTCATGAACCAGAACCTCCTTACCGTTGGACTGGTTTCGATCTCGTAATAGTACTTTGTATCAAACTGCATTAAAAAAATTCAAATTAAACCATGGATTTTTTAAATTTAAACAATCGAATTGGAAATCCTACCTTTAAATGCTTGATAGTGCAATGATGAATGAATCCAGATGTGTAGTTATAATACTTATAAGTAGTGACCATGGCGGTGGCGTTGTGTTTCCGGTGGCTACTTTCGGCCCAATAAACAACGGTTTCAGAACCAGGTTCGTTTTGAGTCACCCAAGACACTATCACTGATCTTCCCACATGAGCCCCTTGAGTTATATGCACCTGCCACGAACTCACAACTTTCAAACTTGAAAGCACAAAATACAATCAAACATTAATGAGGTTTCAGGGTAAAGCAAGAGTACCTGCTGAGGAGCATTGTAGCCAGAAGGAAGAGAGAATACATCACTATCGAAAGGCATATCGGTGGATTTAGCTTTGTGGTGGTTGAGACCAGAGATGAATTGAAGTAAAAATAAAAAACTATATATATTACGAAAGGTCTTAACTTTGTGGTGGTTGAGTTTCATTTTCTGAATTGAAGTAAAAAAAAAAAAAACTACAACAAAACACAGTCAAGCAAATAAAGAAATTGACAAAAAAAAAAAAAAAAAAAAAAAAAAAAAAAAAAAAATCAAATGAGCATTTGATCAGATGGTTTTCTGAGTCATAAAAACCAGAAAACAATCATCAAAACACGTTTGACAATCTTGTCGTTCTTTGAAAGTAAAAAAAAATGCATTACGTAATAATGGGATCATATCCGATCACTAAAAAGTATTGAATAAAAATACATAAAACAAATTGTAGATAATTACCTTCAATTAAGTAGAAACCCTGGAAAGAAAAGAAACGCACAACAAAAAATAAGAAACACACAACCTCAGTTCCATCAAAAAAAGAAAGCAGAATGAACATAATATGTTACTAAACTAACCATAAGACACAACATAGACCATAGATACAAATATGGGTTTGAGGATAATAACTTTTGAACAATCGATGCGCGGGACCAAGAGTTTTGCATTATGCGGGAGTCTGGCTTCCCTCGTATTCACACCAGTAAGCATATGCTAAAATTTGAGAAGTTCCTTGAATACTCGATCCAGATATGACAAGTAATCATCAATCAAGATTGACGGTAGGCTTGGGTCTAGCAATATGCTACTAATCCTTATTCAAGATCATCATGGTCGAGTAAAATGGGAAAATTAGGAAGTCCAAGTCCTGTATCAAGAAATTAGTTTCATACATGACATCATTAGATCAACACCAACCTATAAACTCCAAACAGCTTCTAGAACTTGATATCGATATAAATTACATAAACCCATAGAAGTCTTTTAGAGAAGAAATGAAGTAAAATATACAACAATAACCGGTCATAAAGAATCCTAAGAATGACTTAAATGATTTACGTTTTTATAGAGAACTCATATGACTTAAATGATTTACGTTTGTAATACATACTGCCATGTTTTACAAAGCACAGGTCAAATTAGATGAATTGAAGTAAAGAAACAGATCTGATACCCCGTTTGAGGAATCGATAACATAGCAGATGGTGGTGGATTTGAGAAGAGAATGCATTGTATATAAAGGGGGAGATGAGATTGAACTTTGAAGTCAACAGATTTAGAATTATATTTGGCCAACCCTATATATATACATATAACTATGTAGAACAGTAAAATAAAGAACACCATTGGGATCAAAAGAAACCAACAAGAAAGAAACAAAATGGAAGGAAATAGATGGAAATATAGAATGGACCAAGAAGAAACCAATAATATCTTGAACACATTTTGTTAGTCCCCATTCTTTAGTTTCTTCTATGAACAAAACATAAAGCTAATATCTTGGCACGATCATCAACATAAAATCATTTTGTTAAAATCATTAGCGAATATAATTTAGAAAGCAACGTAGAGACCAATCTAGCTAGAAGTATAATTTCACTTTGTTAGTGAATATAATGTGAGAATTGAATTGAAGGTAGCGTGGGAGAGGCTAAAATGAGTTTACAAGTTATTTATAAATCATTAGCGAAAACTTATTATTGAACATGAACGTGATTCCCTTGAAGCTTTCCTTAAATTTTAAAAAATGTTACATCTAACACTTCTACATATTCTTTTCAGAACAACCTAATTTCTCCTTCAAAATCAATGGATTATAGCGATCGAGCGTGGATAGTAAGTAGAAATCACATAAGTCAAGAGTACACACTTGGGTTGAACAATTTTCTAGCTACTACTAGACGTCACTTGGGTTTAGATGGAAGGACGTTATGTCCTTGTAATAGATGTGAAAACACATGGCTACAACAACTCCCCATGATTCGAGCTCATATTCTACGATATGGTATGCTTGCAACATACCAAAGGTGGATCCATCATGGTGAATCTCTTAGTGACGAAGAAGAACACGACCACTTTGAAGATTCATCGAATAATGACGAAGATGATCATATTTTGAGGGATGCTATTATGGATGAAGAAGGACACATGTTTTTTAATGTTGACCGTTCAACTGAAAATGACATTGAGGATAAGTCTGATGTTAACTGTGGTCGTTTTGACAAGTTGATTGAGCAACTCAACAAGGAACTGTATCCAGAATCAGGGAATCTGACATTACTACAATATGTGAAGTTGATGCACATCAAAGTCTTGAACAAGTGGTGTGATAAATCAGTAAACATGTTGTTACAGTTTGAACAAAGTATTCTCCCATCCAGCCACAATCTTCCCACATCATACTATGAGATGAAGAAAATCTTGATGGAGATTGGGTTGGGATATCATAATATTGATGTTTGTAATCATGATTGTGCTCTGTTTATGGAAAACATGCTAACCTACTTGTATGTCCTGTATATAATCATCCTCGATACAAGAGGAACAAGGTTCCTTTTAAGAGGATGAGATATTTTCCATTAATACCTAGACTTCAATGACTTTATAGTTCACGTTATACTTCTGAAGATATGAGATGGCATGCCCAGAAACGAAAGCCAGAAGAAGGTGTGTTACGTCATCCAACTGATGGTGAGGCTTGGAAAGACTTTGACTTGACTTATCCTGCTTTTTTGACAGATTCAAGGAATGTAAGGCTGGGTTTGACATCAGATGGCTTCAACCCCTTTGGGAATATGAGTGCATCATATAGCACTTGGCCTGTAATGGTAAAATCATTGAATCTTCCTCCTTGGAAGATGATGCATCAAACGAGTTATATGATGTGTTTGCTGATTCTAGGTCTAAAATCCCCAGGTAAATTTTTTGACATTTTCATGCGGCCATTAATTGACGAGTTAAAGACTTTGTGGATTGGAGTAACAACATATGATGCCATTAGTGGAGGTATGTTCAATCTTAAAGTTGTTGCATTGTGGACAATATCAGACTTTCCTGCTTATGTTTACTTGTCTAGTTACTCCACAAAAGGACACTTGGCATGCCCCGAATGTTTAGAAAACACGCATTTTCGTAGTATCAGAAGAAAAACATGTTATATGGGGCCGAGAAAGTGGCTACCTTCTGGTCATCGATGGTGAAGAAGTAAACATGTTATTGGGACTTCACAATTGAAGTTCCTTAACACTCAGTCTTATACTTTGGAATGGTACATTCTCAACAATTGTCATGAATATATCAAATCGTATCTAGAGTATGTTTTCCTTTTCCTTATAATGATTGTTTATATTATCTAAACCAAACAACTATAATGTACTTTTTTTATTTGTAGTGAGCATATAGACATACTAAAACAAAACTTTAGCAGTGATTTAGAGCAACTATAGTCAAGGACTTTTCCTGCATGGTTCAAGATGAAGGTAAAAATGGACCATTTGTCAAGAACATGTTACACATTGTTTTAATACTATTATTAACTAAATGATTTTTTATAGATGGAGGGACTACGTCATGAGGGTTCAACTAAGGCAACAGATGATATGTATTCTTTGGCTTTTGGCCCATTTGATCGATATACTAGTTGGATAACTTGTATCGTAAATGGTGTACGTTTCCATTCACATTGTAGCGATGTTAAACTTTAGATTTCAAAATTGTGGAATTTTTGTTCCAAGCAACCATGATGGCGAGGAAGTAGATTTCTATGGAGTTTTGTTAGAGGTTATGGCGTTATCATATATACTAGGTAGAAAAGTGGTCGTCTTCCGATGCAAGTGGTATAACATTGACAAGAGATTGAGAAACATTCACTGTGAGAATGATTTGACAAGTATTAAAATAAGTTCTAAGTGATACGTTAATGATCCATATATTTGACAAGGGTGTTGCTGAAGAAGGCAACCTTAAGGTATTGTTCCAACCCTTAGAGCCTTTAACAAATGAGTCCTCAAGCCTTATCACCATAACTTCCATGTATCAACTCTCCATCCCTACCACTACTTGCGGTCAGATGGAGGAATAGCTCCCTGAAAACCCATCCCCCAACGCTCCCACCGACCAACAGATGTCTCAGCTGAGGGAGTCACTCGACCAAACTAGAGTACAAATTCCTCTTCGTACCTCTAGTTGTGGTGAGTTCAACTTCCTGACAGAAGCTGAAAGACTCGAAGCACTTAAGGCCGAGGAAGAACTTAATCTTCAACGTAAACAGACTGAGGACAGCTTAAAGTTGGCCAAGTCTCTTGCTGCCAAAGTTCTTCCAAGGAAGAAATCCAAAAAGATGGTGAATGTTGTCCAGGCCCAGGTTAAGCTTCTCTCTATTGCAGAAGCTGAACGTGAAAAGGCAGTGATGCTGGCCGAACACGATAGAAAATGGAGCGAAGATCGTCTACACAAGAGAGTCAGCCCTCATCCTATTTCAAACGTCACCATCAGTGTACAGATGAAAGACGGTGGATTGCTGGTCTCAATGCTCATCACCAGGGATAACCTTGATGCGGTCACCGAGTATCCTTCCTACCTCAGAGAGTATGGCTACAGTGAATGGCCGGAGATCCGCCAAGCCATTCAGCACTCAAAATGAAGACATAAGCTGATTATCGAAGACATCATCAATGATATGATCAAAAAGATGTCCAGGTATGTCGCTGTCCCTGAAAATCCTACTCTGAAGAAAGGTGGAAGAAGAAACATACCTTCAAGTCCTAATGACGGACCAACCCTGAGGAACGAACATGAAACAAAGTTCACCTTGGATGAAGTCCTGAAGGCTACGAAGAAGTCGGACATTTCTATGTTGAATCTCTCATTGCCAGCGAAGGGTCCTTACATACCCAACATTGTGCACATCAAGCCTGAGTTAGAATTTATCTTCCTTGACTATGAAGGTGAAGTCAGCTTCCAAAGAATGTCTAAGTTACATTTATGCCCATTGAAACATCTCGCGTACATTAGATATTGGCTAAATGATGATATATATGGTGAAACGATGGACATCAAGATCA